CAAAATTTTGCCAAACACTTCTGCTTGTCAACCAAATTGTTTGCAAATAAAAAATATTCGTGAACTGAGGTACCACCGTGAAAATAAATATATCTGTAGGAGTTTGGAGCTCTTGTAACAAATACTAAAAATGTGGAAGCAGTAATGGAATTTGAACTAGGTAATGGTAGAGAGAGTGAAAGTTTTGATGTACATGCTAAAAATAAGGACATTAACAGAAATTCTGACGAGGTTTCAGGTGGAAATGAAAACGTTACTGGAAATTAGGAGAAATGTTATTGGAAATAAAAATTCTTATAAAATAGCAAAGAGCATGGTTGAACTGTGTTCTAATGTTTTGTACAAAGTGTCAGATGAATTGAATTTTGTGCAAAGAGTTAGATGAATTAAAATCATTGTTAGGAGAGAGATGAAGGAATCTAAACTTGAGGATTTAGAAAACCCTCAGTGTCATCAACTTTCCATTACTATAGCAAATGCCTGATATAAGAAAGAGAAAAGGTTTATTTTGGATTACAGTTTTAGAGGTTTCTATTATCATTTGGCCCTATTGCTTTTGGGATTGTGCTGAGGAAACACATAATGACAGAGAGTGCATGGCATAGCAAAGCCATGCACTTTGTGGCCAGAAATGAAATAAAGAAAAAGAGAATTGGGTTTTCATTATATTTTCCAAGGGCATACCCTTTGTGACCCAAGGTATCCCACTAGACCCTACCCCTTAAAGGTTGCACCATGGGCTGGGAACTAAGCCTTTAACATGTGGACCTTTGGGGAACTTTAAAGATCCAAACTATAGCACTTCAGCCTATTATTGAAAATAAAACCCAAAAAACAAAAAGAGCAAGTTGTAAAGAAAACACCGAGATTGTGTTTGACTCTCGCTCAAAGAAGAGTTTATGGGATTATATGTGTTGAAACATTGTCAGTTTGAGCTGAAGGTGTTGGAGATTGAATGAAATAAATGAAAGTGGTTGAATTTCTTGGATTCGACAGACACTAAAACTTTTTGCTTTTGAGGAAGAGGGGAAATGACCCTTAAGGAAATATAGAAATCTTCAGTCTCTGCCCTCCTTTCAATAGGCCAGATGGCCTCCACCTGAAGCCTAAGAGGCACAGCTACCCTGAAGAGGTTGAAAACGATACTGGCTAAACAGAATCTTAGAGATGACACCAGTACCTCAGTTGGCCTGGAGGACAGAGCATGGAACCTAAGAGTGTCATTCTTAGGCTTTAGGAGCCAGTGGAACTTGCCAGGTTTGGGATTTGACCTGTCCTTTTCCCCTATTTCTGTCCCTTTTGGAATGGAAATGTCTCTCCTACGCCTTTCTCACTGTTGTATTTTGGAAGCATATAACTTACCTGATTTCACAGATTCTTTGCCTACAGGTGAATCCTACATGAAGTGTCACACATATCTAATTTAGATGACGTTTAGAGAAGAGTTTTGACTTCAGACTTTGGAGATAATGCTGGAATAAGGTAAGATTCCTGGGGGCTGTTAGAATGAGTTGAATGTACTTTGAGAAGGAGAAAGAGACAGAATTTGTGGCTTGAAGATTTGTGCCCTTCCCCATACATACATTAAAGCACTAAGAGTTAGTGTGATGTTATTTGGAGATAAGGACTTCTACAAGATAGGGTTAGGTGAGTCCTTGCCAGTATGGCTCTCATGATAGAATTAATTCCCTCATCATAAGAGACATCAGAGAGCTTCCCCTACCATGGAGGATACAGCAAGAATGCAGCTGTCTGTAGTACAATAGAGCCTTCACCAGAATTCACTCATGCTGACACCATGATCTTGGACTTCCAGCCTCCATAACAACAAGAAAATTAATTTCTGCTGTATAAGCTACTCCTCTGTGGTATTTTGTATGGCAGGCAGAGCTGACTAGCTAAGACACAGCTTATGGCAAGCCCCAGTGGGAAAATCACAGTGCAGTTCCTGGGATTCTGAAGCAAGGCGATAGCATCTGCAGCAAAAGAATTATGCACTTATAAGAACCCACTGTGACACTGGACATTGGTAGCAACAAAACACTTAACCATATGGCACTGAGGACCCACAAATCCAGCGGTGCCTGTTACTATGATTATGAGATTGGTGTGCTTCCTGCTGCACTAAGGAGGTGGTAGCTGTTATTATGGACTTGGTCTATTGGTTCATGTGTTATAAGATGGAAATGGAACATCTGGGATCAGTCCCAAGCAAATCAGAGGGCTGCATAACTAGATACCCCAGACCATCATGTCACCCACCACAGTAACCACCAATACCATGACTAATTGAAGGAGGAGGGAAGTTGGATTCATGGAAGGGTCAGCTTAGTGCAGATGGGTGCAGATCAAAATTAGATGGTGCCTGCTTTATAATATTTTATTAGTTTTCTATTTATCTAAAGAAATGTACTCACATCCCTAGACTGATTTCTAACTCCTGCGCTTATATAGTTCTCCTTCAGCCTCCTGAGTGCCTGCCAAGTAGCTAGCCTCAGGCCCCTAAGTAGCTGGGACTACAGGTACATGTTACCATAGTGTGACTATAATAACCATCTTCAATTACTTTGAAAAACAGTAAAAAAGGAAAATCTTCCCAGTGGGTGGAGCTACCAGCACTGACTCAGATCATCTACGGTATATATATGGAAAAGCAAACAAAGTAGGATATGTGCAGATTCTGTGTGTGTGTGTGTGTGTGTGTGTGTGTGTGTGTGTGTGTTTATGTGTTTGAGACAGTCTTACTATGTAGTTCAGGCTGACCTTCAGCTCAGTCTGGCACCAAACTCCTAAAGGTCCTCCTGCCTCATCCTCCCACCCTCCCACACCCAGCTAGAATATGTACATATTCTTGGGTAAGAGTCAGTGGGTTTGCCTTCTGGAAGGAGCCCTGGTGACGAATGATGAGGGCTGAGGTAGGGTATGTGAATGAATATACACAAGTGGACGTGAAGTGTGTATGTTTTTGTATCATAACATGTATCCAGGAGGGAGGGACCCTACAATAAAATAAGCAAAATGGGTTGGCTAGTTGATATTCCAGGCATTCCAGGCATTCACTGGCCACTTTGGAACAAGTATGATGTGCATGTCATAGTTTGAATAGGTCCTTCTCTTTCCAAGCTCCTACTCTAAAATCCTAATCCCCTATCCTGTGCATATCATCAGGTCATAGTGCAATAAACATAGAAATCAATGGCAAAAGACACCACAGAAACTATGCAAACACATGGAAACTAATACTGCCCTGGATAATCAATGGGTCACAGATGAAAATTAATTCTTACAATCAAACAGTAATGCTAGTACAACATACCAGAACCTATGGGACACAATGAAAGTAGTCCTAAGAGGGAAGCTTCTAGTGGCAAAGTCCAACATCAGAAAAAAGGGCAAGTTCAAATAAATAATCTAATGATGCACCTCAAGGCCCTAGAAAAACAAGAACAACCCAAATCCAAGGCTAGTATGAGGAAAAAATTACAAAGCTCAGATCAGAAGTTAATACAATAGGGACCAAAAAATGCAAAGAATCAATGAGTTGAAGAGTTGGTTCTTTGAAAGATTAAACAAAATAGACAAGCCCTTATCTAATCTTACCAAATCAAGAAAATAGACCCAAATCCATGCAATTAGAAATAAAAAAGGTGAAATGAACAAATTCTGCCAAAATCCAGAAGATCATTGGTAACTACTTTGAGAAGCTGTACTCTAGTAAAGTGGAAAATTAAGAAGAAATGGATAAATTCCTAGATACCTATGAACTGTCAAAGCTAAACCAAGGACATAAAAATCATTAATCCAATATGTCAATTAAATTTAAGAAATAATTTTAAGAACTACCAACTAAGAAAAGCCTAGCTTTCAATGGATTTACTGCTGAATTCTACAAGAACTTTAGAGAAGATCTAACACCAATACTCCTCAAACTCTTTAATGAAACCAAAAGGGAAGCAGACCTTCCAAAGACATTTCTGGAAGCAAGTATTACCCTTATTCCAAAACCAGAACTCCCCCGAAAGAACTACAGGTCTATCTCTTTAATGAACATAGATGCAAAAATCTTCAATTGGATACTGGCAAACAGAATGAGAACCATCAAAAAGATCATACCCCATGATCAAGTGGGATTGATTCCAGGGATGCAGGGATGGTTCAACATACACAAATCAGTAAGTGTACTACACCACATAAACAGAAGCAAGGACAAAAAAGATCATCTCAGTAGACACACAAAAGGCATTTAACAAAATCCAACATCCATTCATGATACAAACTTGAAAGTAAATAGGAATAGAAGGTCTTTATCCCAATCTGACAAAAGCCTTCTATGGCAAGCCAATAGCAACATCATACTAAATGGAGAGAAGTTGAAAGCTCTCCCTCTAAAATCAGGAATAAGACAAAAATATCCACTATCACCACTCTTGTGCAATACAGTGCTGAAAACACTAGCCAGAGCAATCAGACAAGAGAAAGAATAGGAACATGTATAGGAAAGAAGGAGTTAAATTATCATTATTTGCAGATGACATGATCATCTACATGGAAGACCCCAAAAACTCCACCAAAAGACCCCTAGAATTAGTAACCAAATTCATCTAGCATAGCAGTATACAAAGTCAACACTCAAAAATCAATAATATTCCTCTACACCAATAACAGAGAAATTAGGGAAACAATACTTTTCACAAAAGCATCAAGAAAAATGAAATACTGTAGTTAGGAATTAACCTAACCAAGGAAGTGGAAGATATTTACAGTGAAAACTATAGTGCCCTGAAAAAGATTGACAAGGATATCAGGACATGCAAAGAATCACCATTCCTAGATAGCTAGAACCAATTTAGTGAAAATGGCTATACTGTCAGAACTGTTATACAGATTTAATACAATCTCAATCAAAGTACCAATAGCATTCTTCACAGAACTAGATAAAACAATTCTAAAATTCATATGGAACCAGAAAAGACTTAGAATAGCTAAAGCAATTCTGGACAAGATCTTGAAGGGCAGGAGCATCACAATCCTGGACTTCAAGTTACTACTACAACAAAGCAAAAGCATGGTACTGGCAGAAAAACAGATCTGTGGATCAGTGGAGCAGAACATAATGAAGAGACAATTCCAGGCACACTCAACTACAGTGCCTTATCTTTAACAAAGGGACCAAATACTTTTCCTGGAGGAAAGACAGCCTCCTTAACAAATGGTGCTGGGAAAACTGGCTATCCATATACAGAAAATTGAATCTAGACCCATATCTCTTACCATGCACTAAACTAAAATCAAAATGTATAAAAGATCTAAATACTGAAACAGAAACATCTGCTGGAAGACAAAATACGCAAAACTCGAATATATAGGTGTAGGCAAAACTTTCTGAGCAGAACCCTGGTCCCACAAGAAACAATACCAAGAATAGATCACATCAAATTAAAAACTTCTGCACAACAAAGGAAACCAACAGAGTGAAGAGACAACGTATAGAATAGGAAAACAATTTTGCTAGCTACTCCTCAGATAGAAAACTAATATCTAGAATATATAAAGAACTAAAAAAATTAGGTGCCCCCCAATTTAAAGACCCAATCAAAAAATGGGCAGCTGAAATGAATAGACACTTGTCAGATGAAGAAGCACAAACCAGCCAACAAATAACATGAGAAAATGTTCAACACAAAAAAATGTTCAATATTTGCTAAGAAGTGCAAATTAAAACAATGCAGATTTATCTCACTTCAGAAAGAATGGGTACCATCCCAAAAGAGAGTCATCATGTTGTAGTGAGATGTGCATACCCATGTTTATAACAGCACAGTTTATTATAGCTAAATCTTGGGAGCAGCCCATATGCCCATCAACAGATGAATGGATAAGAAAACTATGGTATTTATATACATGGTGTACTACTTGGTGTACTACTCTGCCATTAAGAAGGATAAACTTGAGCCATTTGAAGGTAAATATATGCACCTTGAGACATAAGACAGACACACAAGTTTAAATATTGCATAGTTTCTCTTATATGAGAAACCCAAAGAGCAAAGTAAAAGGTAGATAATAGGAAGTAAGGAGATCTTTTTCAAATGGGAAGGGGAACAAGAGATGCAGGGAGGGGGAAGGAAGGAATGGGAAAGGGGATTTTAAAAAGAGTTGAAGAGAAAATGGAAATAAAACTTTTGCAAATGGGAAAGGGAAGAAAAGTTGCAGGGAGGGAAGGGAAAGGAAAGGGACCAAAAAAAAAAAAAAAAGAATTAAGATGTGTTATGTAAAAACTCCCCACCCTAGGTGTAATAATTATGTATTACAAAAAAAAAAAAAAAAAAAAAGAATTAAGATGTGTTATGTAAAAACTCCCCACCCTAGGTGTAATAATTATGTATTACAAACATGTCCTAATAAATTTTTTTAAAAATCCTAACACCCAATGGCTCAGAATAACCTTCTTTGGAAAGAGGGTTTTTGCAGATGTAATCAGTTGAGATCATTACTGGAGGAGGTTCGACCCTTAATTCAATATAACTGGTGTCCTTTATAAGCAGCTACTCCTGTGAGACAGAGACGCATGCAGTGATCATCATCTGAAGGTAAAGGATGAGACTGGAGTGATGCAACTTCTTTATATTAAAGATTGGCAGCAAACGGTCAGAAAATAGGAGAGAGGCATGGGACAGATTCTCCTTTAGAGCCTTCAGAAGGAACCAACCTTGCTGATGCTTTAATCTCCAACTTCGGGCCTCCAGATCTATGAGACAATAAATCCTGTGACTTACAGCGCCAAGTGTGTGGTACTGTCCTATGGCAGCTCTAGGAAATTTATACCAGTGCATAAATGGAGTGGCAACAAAGGCAAAGGTAGACTTTGTATGAGCTGACAAAGCACAGACTCCAACTTTCCAAGGCTGATCAAGCTACTGATGATCTTAATTACTGCTAATAGTTCGGATCTGCAACGTCCCCCAAAGGCCTGTGTGTTAATGGCTTCCTTGATCCTTTGCTTGGTGCTGTGAGAAAGTGATGGAGACCTTCAAGAGATAGTGCTTTGGGAAGATTGTAGATCACTGTGGCTGTGCCCCCGAAGTGGAATATGGGACAGGGACTTCTTCCTTTCTCCTTTTCACTTCTCTACCACAGGGTGAATTACTTTTTCCTCCGCCATGCTCTCCCTATCACCATGAGGTGCTGCCTTACAGTGGTCCCAGAGACAATGGGGCCAACTAACCACGGATTAAAACTTCCAAAATTGTGAAACAGTGTATGCATTTTTGCTTTCTAAGTTTATCTCAGGTATTTTTTACAGGAACAGAAAGTTAACACAGAGACCGATTCTGAGTTGCAAATATGCCATTGTTAGTCAAGGAGACCACTGGGCCACTTGGTGACAGGTTGACTATGTTGGGTCTCTTCCATTTTAGAGAGACTGTTTTCACAGTAACAGATATATATTTATTCTAGGTATGGGTTTTATTTTCTTGGCCACAGATCCTCAGCTAGTGCCACTACATGAGACTTTATAGAATGCATAGTGCAGAAACATAGAATCTTGTTTAACATAGCATCTGCCCAGGGTATTTGCTTTATAATAAGAGAAATATGAGATGCAAGAGTAGGTCCATAGCCATGGGATTTACTGGACATTCAACCCCATCCAGAAAAATCTGGCCTTGTAGAGAGCTAGGAAGACTTTGTAGAGGTGCAAGTGGCACTCAGCAGCAACATTCTGAAAGAATTCAACGTGTTGTACACAATCAGAGGCATCTGTGATTCCAATTAAAAAAATAGGACTACTAACCCAGGAGGGGAAGTAGGAATAGCTCCACTTACCTTCCTTACCAATGACCCATTAGAAAGTTTTGAAATTTCTATGCCCATAAATCTGGAATCTGTAAGTTTAGGAGTCCTATGGGGTTGTAGTCCTGTTAGGAAACACAGCAAGGGTACCATTAAGTTACCAGAAATGGATGCTGCTGAAGCACTTTGGACTCCTTGTGCTTAGCAACCTGACACAGAGAGAATCTACTATCATGACAGAAGGTAACAGATCCTGATCAGTAGTGGGAGGAAGTAATGCTACTTTTGAAAGAGCCCATTATGATCCATGTGGGTATCTTCTGATATTCCTACACCCCATCATAACTGGCCTGAAGCAAATCTGGACATTCAACCCCATCCAGAAAAATCTGGCCTCGTAGAGAGCTAGGAAGACTTTGTAGAGGTGCAAGTGGCACTCAGCAGCAACATTCTGGCCTTGAAAGGGGTATGATTGAAAGCAAATCTGGCCTGAAAAGGGTATGATTACCTGCAGCTCAAGATACTAGGGAATAAGGGTTTGGATCAGACCATCATGTAAGTCACTGAGACCTGCTAAAGTGATAACTGAGGGTGAGGGGAATTTAGAGTGGACATCGGGAGAGAAACGATCAGTATCAGTTGTGGCCTCCATATCAGTTGCTGTATTTAGTGCCACTAGCCTTCCTCTCCAAGTTTCCCTTCAGGAAGAGAGGGAGCACCACGGAAGAGGTTCTCTCCAGCTCAGATCTGTGAAGCACAAGGAATGGATTGACAATGAACCTTTCAGATATCCTGCTGTCCTAACTACTCACCTTCTGGATCCAGCAAGGTGTGTGCTGCTGAAGCCATGCTTCCCAAGAGCTATACTTCAACAATGACTGAGCATGGTGAAATACTAATGCAGGTTCATTCCTGTAAGACTCAGGTTTGAAATAACAGCCCACATTGGTTATAAAACTACACACAGGATTCTAAGATCAGAGGGAAATTTAGAGAAAGAAACAGCAAATTTAAAGTAAAAAAGAGATAAAATCAGAAATCAATGAAACAATAAAAATATACAAGACAAAAAATTGATAAAGCCCAAACTTAATAATCTTCTAAAGGATTAATGAAAAGGAATCAACTCCTAGAAAGACCAATTTCTTTTTGAGGCAGGGTCTCACTATGTAGCTCATGCTGGCTTTGAACTCACTATGTAGCCCAGGCTTGCTTCAAACTTGCAGCAACCCTCCTGCCTCAGCCTCCCAAGTGCTGGGATTAGAGGTATGCACCACCATACCCAGCACAAGACTATTTTAAAACAGTGAAAAAAAACACATTAAAAATATCATCAATAAACAAAAGGACATCACTATAAGTATTATAGACATTAAAAATATGAGGATATTTAAAATAACATTATACCAATAAATCTGACAATTTACTTGAGACAGAAAGATGTATTATAAAACAAAACTTATTATTAATTTTTTTTTTTGGTTTTTCTCCGGTACCGGGAACCGAACTCACGACCTTGAGCTTGCCAGGCAGGCGCTTTTTGCCGCTGAGCTAAATCCCCAGCCCCAACAAAACTTATTGACACTGACACCAAAATAAATAGACAAATTTATATTCTAAAGAAATTGAATTCATAATTTAAATCTTCCTACAAAGAAAACTCCAGATGGCTTCACTGGTGAATTCTTTCCAACTTATATTCTGTTTTTAGAAAGGCATAAAAGGCATATTCACAGTTTCTAATGCTTATCTATTATACACTTTATTTATGGCCTGACATCCCCCATGCTTCTATACATAATTCCCTGAGCACCTACTATGTTTTGGGGCATTTTGTTAAGTGCTTTAGATACAATAATAAATAAAAGGATTTTTGGGAAGGCTTTTAGATTGGCTGAAGAAGTATATATATATAATGTAAATGCAATTAAGTAAGTGCTGATAAAGATATATATAGCAACTTCCAGGAAGATGAAGGAGTGTTAAGCAGCAACCAGTCAACCTCTCCAAGCTTTGGAGTCCAGACACTGGAAAATAACAACTGGGGGAAGAAAAGAAGGAGGGGAATGGATGGATCCCCAGAGGCCTCTAGGGAAAAACACATCAGTGGAATGGAGCAGTGGGTGCTGTGCTCTACAACAGCTGGTGAGTAGCTCCAGTCCAAGCAGCTACCTGTGTCCCCTGGAAGGGTGCTTAGCCAGGTGCTATTTTAGGGAGAGGCCAACTGAACCCTGGATTCAGGCTGCCATGCATTGGATTCATCTCAGGGCTTCCAGTGTTAAAATCCCATAATGACTGGATGAGGAGCAACTGCAGTAGATGTCCAAGATCAGGGAGCCATGGTCAGGCCAGCAAGAGTGACTCAGGGTGTTATAGGCTGAACAACTCAGGCCCCAGCCCCACAACCAAAGACCAGAATCAGCCTGAACTTCTGAGGAGTTGAAAGCAATGGAATTGGCACCCCACCCTAATCCTACTGCAGGGTTGCTGGGATCATCTAGCACACATTTGGGCTCTGTCTACCTCCTTTGTCAACCAGTAACAGTAGAGTTGCTCCCTAAATTGAACAATACCACAGAACTGTAGACCTCAGAAAATAGCTACAGACTTGAAATCACAGCAAAATCTTTTTTTCCTTTGCTTTTGATTGTGTTTGTTTGTTTCTTCTTTATTTGCTTTTTTCTTGATTATTTTTTTCATGAGTATGAACATTACTTTTAGCTTTTAGTTTTCTTGTTTTTGTTTGTTCCTTCATTTCCCTCCTGTCTTCACCAGTTTTCCAAAGCTTGTGTAAGCTTTCTTGCTTCTAATCTATTTCTCTTCTTTTATCTCTCTATTTTTCCTCTTACCTCTTTTAAATTTTCTCCCCTGACAGTAAAATCATTCTATTGAGTGGATATTTACTGTGTATAATTTTCTGATCTGTTTTAAATTTTGTTACATAGCTATAAATCTCATACCTATTGTTAAAGATGGCAAATTAACAGTAATCACAGTTTGTTATCTTCTAGACTGTGCTTAATACTGTTGTGATTATTGATTGTACTACTTTAGCACAGATGACATAGTTGTTGTGATCAGTCATTCTTCTTTGCATGCCACTACCTAGATTTTCTGGGGGTCATAAACAATACCATGGTCCAGTACCAAGGAACTGAGTGCTAGGCCAAACAGGCAGCAACCTGTCATCACTAATATATTGAAGAGGCAAGCTCTTAGGACAGACTCAAAAACCAAAAGCCAGCTATGGCTAGAAGACATCTTTGAAAAGTAGTCATTTCCTAAAGAAGTTTCAATACTAATAATAAAGCTACCTATCTTAAGGAATTTACAATCATCAGTGCAGAAAACAATTTTTTTTTAAAAAAGAAAATGAGTAAACACAGAAATGAGATGAAACCCCAGACCTCCAACTCACCCAAGGCAAATCCAGGGGACATGGAGGTGGAAGAAATCAAAAGCCACCCATTTGAACTTTCTGAAATGATAGCAGTGAAAGTAACAAAGCAGAAGAATGAGTTTCTAGAAAAAAAATCAGAAATAATTACAGAATAATTACTGAAGAGATGATGACCATAATGAAGGATATGGTTAATGAATCTAAAGTAGATACAGATAAAAGAAATAGAGGAGCTTAGGAAAGTGATGGAAACCATGAATGCCCAACATAGGGAAGAACTGGACTGCATAAAACAGATTCAAATAGATATCCAGGAGATTAAAAATTCTATCCAAAGTGTATACAGCAGAATCAACCATTGTGAAGATAGTATATCAGATCAAGAAGACAGGTTTATGGTTAGTGATCATCAAATTAAAGACATCTTAAATATAGCAAGGGACCACAACAAATCAATCCAACAGCTGTTAGAGGATGTAAATAAGAATAATGTAAGATGAATTGGAGTCACTGAAAAAATCAGAAACTAGTGCAAAGCACATAAAAAAAAGCCTGTTCACAGAAGTAATAGCAGAAAACTTCCCAAACATGGAAAAAGAATTTAAGGTAAGAACTCCAATAAACCATGATCAGACAAAAACTACACCAAGGTATATAATGGTCAAGATTCCAGAAATTCAAAATAAGAACAGAATATTAAGAGCTGTTCGAGGAATGAAACACATCACCTACAAAGGAAAACCAACAGAATCATAGTAGACTTCTCAACACAAACCTGTAAGTCAAGGAGAGCTTGGAGCGATGTATTTCAAGTCCTAAAAGAAAACAACCTCAAACCCAGACTGAGATACCCTTAAAACTATCTTTCAGAATTGAAGGAGAAATATTTCCATAGTAAAGAACACCTGATGCAATTCAAAAAGTTCTGAAGGATATTCCAGTACTCCAAAATCTTGAAGGATATTCTATAAAAAGTCAGTGAAGACAACAATACCATGAATCCCAATGGAGTGAATCCACCAGGGAAGGCAGGCAATTAAACAGAAGGAAAAGAAAGGGA